GGAGGGAAGAATAAGATTTGCGAATGGTTACGGATATTAATGAAATCAATTCCGAATTAAGATATGGCATATTGCAAGTCAAAACTGAAGGAAGTGAATAGGTATGTAGAGATAATGTTATATCTAATGAACGAAAATAGAAATAGTGGACAAGTTCGCATATATTTCACTGATTGAAAGAGCAGAACTGACTAATAAAATTCTTCTAGATCTTAAACCAAACAACAAGCCAGTTACAGTAGTGGAAATACACATTGCACATACGCATTATAATAGAAGTGAACTTATAAAAAGTTTTTCATTCGAAAAATTTTGGAAGGAAAACAAATAAAAAACTTTATAAAAAACTGATTCGAATTCTGATGGTATAGTAAAAGATATAGTCCCTAAAAGAAAGCTGTACACAGATATTAAGTTCGAAAAAGGTAGCAATAAATTTGATGAATTGAAGCGAAAAAAAGTGTTAACAAGTTAAGATGGGGCAGTTAAACAATGAAAAGAAAGAATATCAAGAGGAGTTTGGATTTCAACTATGACAAAGTTCATGGAAGGAAGGAGGTGGCTGGATAATCCATTATAGCAACGAAAAGTTGATAATCATTGCAGTGTGTCAATTATTGGAGGAAAATATGTATATAACAAAACAATGTTTGTATTTCTATAATAAAACGTACAACAATTGCTTGGTGTTGTTCAGCTGATGATAGGTGCCTTTTCTTTACTGATAAAATGTGTCTTACATATATGTGCAGGAATAAAGTCAAAACTTGGATAATATATTCATTTGCCGCTTCTAACTTATGTATTATCATGTTTTTTTTCTGCTGCAATTTTAACATTATCCCATCTGTGAAACTTCCAGCTATTTTGCTACTTTTTAACATTCCCTAAGAAATATGCTAACTCTTGGCCTCGACCTTTTCTACCATCCTTAGCACTTCATCGGCTGTGCTCTTTTGCTTGATGTTCGCTTTTTATCCTGAAAGTTATTCATTCCATTACCATATCCACACTCGAGAAGTCAAATTTGCCCTGCATTTTCTTCAAATTATCAGTGGCACAAGCAGTTACGCAAGAATCGTTAATATACACTATGTGAAACGTATTTTTTGATTCAGAAATAACATCTGTTCGTTACATACTGTCTATCATCCATCACATTTCACGCTTCTTTTCCTAAATATTAAAAATGTCAACTTACTCCTTCAACGACAGATGAGTCATAAACGATGAATATACCGAACAAGTATGCCAAGTTAGCAGCCAAAAAACATATTCCAAACACGACGTATAACAGAACGCCGATTGTAATAGTAAAAAGGCTTTCGTCGCTTCGAACTAAAAATATGAACTAAAAAAATTTAAAAAACATGAACTAAAGAACTAAAAATAACTTAAAGTACGAACTAAGAAATGCGTTTATAACATGATATGTTTTAAAGTAAGGTATTATAACATGATATATTTTAAAATAAGGTATGAATTAGATGACTTTCTCATTCCCCACTGCATCATGCAATGCTGAAGTTGCCAGTGACAATGGAAGATGAAGTAGTGGGTGCTTTTAGTGAAACTTGCTTTAAGTTAAGAAAACCTGTGTATGGACGACTTTCATGCTTCTTCTGCTTGCTTTTCATAACAGATCGTTTCCAAATCCGTGGCCCTAAACGTGATCGTCTTTTACGGCAAAACAAATCCACCCTTGCTAATCCATAAGCAACTTTAGTAGCGTTATCAAAGTACGCATCATCTTCACATCTGCTGCCCTATAATATTTTATGCGATGAAATAAGGCCTGATGATTGCAGCAAATTAACCTATTGTTGGGACAAAAACGATTTTTTTTTTGAAAGATTTTGAAGTTTTAATATAGTAGCGACAATCGAAACTTTTTGAGACATACAATGAACGACTCGAAGAAGTTTATTTGTCCTTACAAGAACGCATAGTAATTATGATTAACTAAAGTATCAGACTTCTGGCAAACCTCTTTTCGTTGCTAACCGATCATTCATTACACGCTAATAAGACTTATATTGATTTATTTACCGGATTCATCCATCCGGTATGATTATATGGCGTAGCCCATGCAATAACATTCGAGTTGTTCCTCTTTGTTGCGACGCTTGCGCCAAACACCGTTTTGATCACTTCATTGCACCATTGTGTTTTGCTAACGATGATAAAAACCCTCTTGATAGCTTCAATTCTCACTTTAGAATATTTGCAAACGTTTAACCGATGTATCTGTGATATCTGTAATCATAGTATTATGTAAATGCCATATTGTGATTTTCCACTGGTAGAAATACTAGTAGAGATTTCTTGAAAAGACCCAGTCCTCATTCTCTTATTAATAAATTCTTCGTTCCTTTGCAAACATAACAGCAAATGCAATTTTTAAATTTAAACTTCAAATACATACATTATTATGCCAGTGCTGTTGTATGAAAAGTGATAAGGGACGTAGGATGATGTAATTCGACCTTATCTGTGACACTAACAACAGAGCAATAGCGATCACCAAGTCTAACCGCATTCCAATGAGCGCTCTTCGCCGTACAATAATCGCTTCATACATTCGAATGGTATAAAAACTTGTAAATCCCAGTTAAATTACTGTAATTAGCAAATATTGAATATATTTGCAGCGAAATGAATGCCTTTCAAGCAAAATTTGCATGCTAAACTTGTTTAACTCCACATTTTTGCTTGTTATAATTAATGTGATGCATCCCAATGTGCAGAAGGTTTTTTAAAGTGAAAATATAGGATGCATAGCAAAGTTGCAAATTGTCATTTTCTCTTTGTATCGCGTACCGAGGAATTGCTTACCGTAACATTAACGAAAATAGCTAGCTAGATCGCCGCTTAATATCGAACAGATCTCAAATTACATTGTCAGTTGATGCAATTTGACACAACGATTCAAGTGAACCAAATTTTTTAGGAATTCTAAAATATTTCAGATCTTTGCGTACATTTACTGCTGCTTTTTGCAATCCTTTCAAGTCTGAAAACTATGATTGCCATGAACTTTAAAGATATCGATAATATGGAAGTAGCTTTGTGAAGCAATTTTTCAATTAAATTAGTGCAACCCTTCTTAAACTAACTAACAACGCTATCTTAATAAAACTTTTAGAATGGAGTTTTCGCTCAATGTTTGTAAATCGTTGTTATTAAATTGATGACATAGGTTTAAATAAATAATGTTTGATTATTAGCAATGATAGTCTTCTTTCAAAATAACAAAAACGAAGTCTATCAGCAATTTTCTAGTAAATGAAATTTTCACCGTATAGAACTAAATATCGCTACATTTATTGTTAGCAGTAAATTTCAAAAATATTTCACAATGTTTATTTATTTTAAATTTGATATTATTACGGGTGAAATTGTAAGAGAATTTTATAATGATTACGGCTGCCATGCAGATGATAATGAAATCGTTAATGTGTCGGTAAGATCATTTAATTGAGTATAATAATAACAATAATATGAAAAAAAGAGATGATACTTTTTACTATACTTTTTCAATACTTTTTAGTAGAATATCGAATTGTTTACATAAATATTTAATTACATTTATCAGTATTAGGAATTTAGTATTGTACGTTTTCGAATATTTAGATATGTCGGTACTTATATAAAATTAGTTAATATCAATCAAATTTAATACTAAATTTTTTTCTTTTGCTTCGTTACTATTGAAATTAAACTTGGTAGATTTAAAAATGAGAGTTGCAATTTGAAATTGGATTCATATAGTTTTTCAATGGCCCATTCATTTCACCAATCTATGGGAAAGAAAAAATTATGGAAAATTACTTCGGGGAGAAGTAATATATGTTAATGAACAAATATTAAGATAAATTGAAGTTTGAAAAAAAAAGGACAAAGAAGGCAATAAAACAAAGT